GCTTAGGGTTTAGGGTTTAGGGTTTAGGGTTTAGGGTTTAGGGTTTAGGGTTTGGGGTTTAGGGTTTAGGGTTTAGGGTTTAGGGTTTAGGGTTTAGGGTTTAGGGTTTAGGGTTTAGGGTTTAGGGTTTAGGGTTTAGGGTTTAGGGTCTCGGGTTTGGGGTTTAGGGTCTCGGGTTTGGGGTTCCTGGCTCTTGAGGGTTTGGTTCAGAGGTGAAGGTTTAGGGTTCAGTATATTAGGCTTTGGCTTCTCAGGGCACATAGATCAATCCTTAACCATGAACCTTTTGGGGTCTTCCTCAACGCTAAACCCTGAACCCCACCGCAAACAAGAACAATCAGAGGTCGCGGCATGAAAATCCTATGAAGGTGCCTCAGACACTCGGAAGTGCTTGTGTGTATATACACATATACATTGATTTGTCTATTTGCGTATCGATGTGCTTGTTTGTCTTTGTACATGCCATTGGTGGTTTTTGTTTTCATTCAGCCGGAAGTTACTTCTATTCGCTGTTTGTATATGTATGTTTATACTTCTCTGTTGGTTTAGTCTGCGAGTTGAGCATTTGGCGGGTTAGTTCGTTGGTTTTGTCTTCAGAAGTCTATTGTCTGTGTGCGTGTAAATGTGTGTATATATATATATATACATATTTGTAGAAACGGAAGCGCAGAGCATGAATGGTCTGTCACTTCAGCTTTGTGTGCTTATGCGCACTGCCAGGCGAGTAAGCACACCGTTACAGGGGCCTGTCGTGTTTGCAAGTAGCAGCTGCACAAGATAAAACTAGAATTTTCTACATCGAAAACATCCAGCCCTAAACCCCTGACCCTAAACTCTAAACCCTAAACGCTAGCCCTAAACCCTAAACCCTAAACCCTAAACCCTAAACCCTAAACCCTAAACCCTAAACCCTAAACCCTAAACCCTAAACCTGCGCCTGAAGCCTACATGTTTCAGGACAGTCGCGGGCTTTGGTTCGTACTAAATCTGCCTGGCACCGCCTGGGGCTGCTTTCCCCAAGGCCCGAAACCCGAAACCCTAAACCCTAAACCGCTCACCCTGGACCCCTTAAAGTGCGCCTGAGACCAGAAACCACCGGTCCTTTTTTGCAGGTCTGGCAGAGGCTAAGCGATCCGGGTCTGCACCAAAGCAGGGGAATGCAATCCTTCATGATGCTTGGGCTTCTCAGTTGCGGTTCCTGGCGTCAGGCTTCGAAATAACAGGCCTCTTCAAGTAGGATGGGTGCTGCTGGGTACTTATCCATGGGAACTCTGAGTAGCAGTGCAACTAGAAGGGGCCTTTTGGGGCAGCGATACTGGAGGTGGATACATGGCGGCACGACATTGTGCAGTTGCTTGGGCTCAAGGAGAGTTCGGGGACGGCCCGCACCATCATGAAGAAGCGGCAGGAGGACGCCCGCTGCTCAGCTTCACATGCGCTCACGAGGCCCTAACACGGTACCAAGTGAGCGCAGCGGAGCCCATGTGCAACAGTGTTGCGAACACGTCGGGGCTGGAGAAAAATGCCACACCTTTAGGCTCCCTTGAGCCTTGAGGTTAGGGTTGAGGGCAGAACCTTCAACCGTAAAACCCTCCGCCGAAAACGTCCTGGGCCCGAGAAGCTGACTGCCTTGGAACCCTTCCTTTCTGATATCCCTATGAACTCTGCGGTTAACCAGAAAACAGACACCTCCCTAAACCCTGAAAACCCTAAGCCCTAAACCCCAAACCCTACTCCCTAAACCCTTTGGGGTTTGGACTCTGTGATGACGGATATCTAGCGTTCTTCCGGCTTTGCCTATCTTGGGGCCCCCAAAGGGCGGACCATAGGGGTCGGCATAATTACAAAAAAAGCATTCCCTTATGGCCCCTTTGTAATTATACTATAGTAACCCCCCAAAACCCGGCTCTAATTGTTAAGGCCCCGATTTTACACGTTTGCTAAGAGCCTTTTTTCCCTAAACCTCCAGGCCAAAAGCTCCAGTTTTCTAAGATTAGGGCTTTGGGGGTTCGGGGTGTGCTTCATGGAAAGTGCCGACGTTCCATTGCCATGGTCACATAATCAAGATCTACACCAAGATGCAGCCGCTTTGCCTTGTTCGGGTTGATGGACTCCCTAAACTCAAGGCCTAGGCCGCCCCCTATGTTGGGGGGCGGCGCCTAAGCCCCTCGTTCGCCCGGCTCCCACAGCTCGGAGGTCGGTAGCACCCACGATGGGCCCGTAGTCCTTTATGAAAGTGGGTTGTGGGGCGTGTGCTTGGATTCATGGGTACCCCCAAGGGCCCCAGCCTAGAGGGTCCTGGACCCCTCGCCGCAGCGTGCCCAGGGCCTTGCGACTCTGCTTGGGACTGCCTGGGACCCCCTGAAAGGGGTCCCAAAAAACCGCTTTTGAGACTCCTGGGACCCCCCTGCCTTCCCTGACACTTACAACCCCCTGACGGAACGCCCCAAAACGGAAGAAGTTTTTAGAAGTGGACTGCTGCCTTGAGTTTAGGCCTAAACCTCAAAAGGAGCAGGTTTGGGTGGCTTTGCCTGGGGTGGGAGAAAAGTGTTAGATGGCCTTCCACAATCGGGCCAAAGCTGCTCTTCGCGCCTCACGAAGCCCTCAAACTTGTTCCAAAAGCCTAACCTTCACAGCATCTACGCCCTATTACAGCAAACCCTAAACCCGAAACCCTAAATCCCAAACCCGAAACACCCACACCCTAAAGCCCTATAGCCCTGTAGCCCTATAGCCCTATAGCCCCAAAAACCTGAAGCCCTAAACCCTAAACCCTCAACCCTGAACCCTAAACCCTAAATCCAAGTCTTCAACCGGCCTTTGGGACTTTAGGTGGGCGAGAGAGGGATCCACTGCTTGGGATCCTGGGTTGAGGGCTCTTGTGGATGGCATAGGGTTTGCGGGTTTAGGGTTTAGGGTTTAGGGTTTAGGGTTTAGGGCTTAGGGCTTAGGGCTTAGGGTTTAGGGTGTAGATAAGTTTGGGGTTGAGAAGCCCCAACAGGCTTCGGGTGTTGCATCTCCCACCCCGTCCGAAGCAAAGCTGGCGGTGCACGGAGCAAGCAAATGCAACGCCCTTGGGCAGCAACTCGGCTTCTAGGGCTTACATCTTTCATGGGCTAGGGTGAAGGGTTTAGGGGTCAGGGTTCAGGGTTGAGGGTTTAGGGTTTAGGGTTTAGGGTTTAGGGTTTAGGGTTTAGGGTTTAGGGTTTAGGGGTTTAGGGTTTAGGGTTTAGGGTTTAGGGTTTAGGGTTTAGGGTTTAGGGTTTAGCGTTTAGGGTTTAGGGTTTAGGGTTTAGGGTTTAGGGTGTGACAAAACACCCGCAGCTCTGCACCAACCATTCTCCAACCCCGGAGCGCGGGACCCCCCGAAACCCTCCTAAAAAAGCCCCAAACCTTAAACCCTAAACCCTAAGCCCTAAACCTTACACGAAAGCCCTCAATCCCAGCCTTGGCTCCGCCAAACCCTGAGGTTTAGGGTTTAGGGTTTAGGGTTTAGGGTTTCAGGTTTAGGGTTTAGGGTTTTGGGTTTAGGGTTAGGGTTTAGGGTTTAGGGTTTAGGGTTTGGGGTTTAGGGTTTAGGGTTTAGGGTTCAGGGTTTATGGTTTAGGGTTTAGGGTTTAGGGTTTAGGGTTTAGTGGAGGCTTCGAGCTAGGGAAAAAGGAAAGGCAGCAGTTGAGCTGCCGAAGGGCACGCCGTTGAAAACGCCTCATTTGCGCTGACTGCGCAGGGGGGGTCCGCAACACGGTTTAGGGTTTAGGGTTTAGGGTTTAGGGTTTAGGGTTTAGGGTTTAGGGTTTAGGGTTTAGGGTTTAGGGTTTAGGGTTAAGTGTTTAGGGTTTAGGGTTTAGGGTTTAGGGTTTAGGGTTTAGGGTTTAGGGTTTAGGGTTTGGGGCAAACAAATTGCCGGAGAACAGCCTTATTTTGGAATGTTCCCCCTTGTACTAACACTCCTTAATAGGGATTACAATACCCCCTAGTATAATCCCCATTAAGGACTAGTATAAGGGGGAACTTCCCAAGCCTTATTCGATCACGAGAGAACGAAGTACCCAAGCTCACCTAGTTTTTGTATAGGGCTTCGGGTTTCCGGTTCAAGGCTTGGGGCTTCGGGTCTAGCGCCCAGCGTCTAGTTTCAGCTGAACCCATCCGCATCGCGAAGTGTGAAGATACCTCCTGCTGCATGCGTCATAGCATCCCAGGGGGCCCCCCAGCCCATCCCACATACTAAGCCTGAAGAAGATCTCAGGAGCTCAAACCATAAACCCTACACCCTGAACCCTAAACCCTAAGCACCCTAAACTCTAGACCTTGTGTGGGGTCCCCCTTGGGGTCCTATGAATGTGGCACCTCTGGGCACGTCGTCTGGGCCGTCACAGCCGAGACCCAACTCTACACACTCAGCTCTGATCCCGGAACCAACCAACCCTAGACCCCCGCTTTGCAGTTTAAGGTGTTGGGTTTAGGGTTTAGGGTAAGCTTCGTACAAGGACGACGGCGAACGCCCGGGGCGTTTTAAAGCCCGAAATACCCTGCAGAATTCCAAAACCCAGGCCCCTCACGCTTCGTCTGTGCCTGCAAGAGGCGGGCTCACGAATCTTGGCTGGACAAAACCCTAAACCCTTAACCCTAAACCCGAAACCCTAAACCCTCTCACGGGCTGAGGCCTCAAACCCACTATATCCCCGCAACCCCCCAAGACCGAAGCCAACCCTTGGGTTTGGGGTTTAGGGTTCAGGGCTTAGGGCTTAGGGCCTATTGTTTAGGGTTTAGGGTTTAGGGTTTAGGGTTTAGGGTTTAGGGTTTAGGGTTTAGGGTTTAGGGTTCAGGGCTCAGGGCTTAGGGCTTAGGGTTTAGGGTTTAGGGTTTAGGGTTTAGGGTTTAGGGTTGAGGGCTTAGGGTTTGGGGTTTAGGGTTTAGGTTTTAGGGTTTCGGGTTTAGGGTTTCGGGTTTAGGGTGACTCCTAAGCATTACATCCTAAGCCTTTAGGGACAAGGGCGGGCCTAGCTCCAGCTGCTGGAGCGCGCAGTTTGCTTCGCGGAGGCTCGGTCCTCGGCACTAGGTTTTTTTTCTAAAGCTGGAGCAGGGTTTAGGGTTTAGGGTTTAGGGTTTAGGGTTCAGGGTTCAGGGTTTAGGGTTTAGGGTTCAGGGTTCAGGGTTCAGGGTTTAGGGTTTAGGGTTTGGGATTGATAAATCAGGGCTTTGTGGGCTGAGGGCTCAGATATCAGGAGTTGGGGTGGAGGGTTCAAGGTTTCAGTGTTGGGGGTGTAGGCGATAGTTGTGGTTGATAAGGCACTTGACCGCCTTTTCCCTCCGCCTTTGACCCCAAGATTTGAACTCTCAGCTTAAGTAGGGTTTACGGTTTAGGTTGGGATGTCCCCCTTATACTAACAGTCCTTAATCGGGAGTATAGTACCCCGTAGAAAATCCCTACTAAAGACTGTTAGTATAAGGGGAACATCCCAAGGTTTAGCCCTAAACCCTGAACCCTATACCCTAAACCCCAAACCCCAAACCCTTCATGGCTCCCGTACCTCCCGAATTCCCGATCCCCTCACCTCTGGACCCTCTAACCCGTAGGGTTTAGGGTTTAGGGTTTAGGATTTAGGGTTTAGGGTTTAGGGTTTAGGGTTTAGGGTTTAGGGTTTCGGGCGACAACTAAAAACCTGCGAACCTATGGCCCGCGCCTCCTCGTCGTACATCTCGCCAATCGTGCCCTGCACGTCATGCATCCTGTCTGCCATCTGACCTTTGGCAGCGTTTGCACTTGCACCCCAAAAGCAAGGCCCCTCAAATAAACTCTGAGGTCCCTTAACTACCTTCTTAAAAAGGGGTAGTTAAGGGACCGCGTAACTGCCCTGAGATAAACCCCCAACCCCAAGCCCCAGGCGCCAAGCCTCCCCCAAACTCTCAGCCCTACAACAGCCATAAGCCGTATAATCCCTACAAGCTCCTCGACCCTGAACCTTACAACCCCCCAAAGAAGCAAAATAGATTGGTTCCGGGTCCCCAAACCTTCGCTTGACATCCCGTTTAGGGTTGAGGCCTCAGGGTTGGGTTTAGATGGGGTTGGGTGTTGATGTGAAGCCCATGCAGCATCCAAAACCCGCTCCCCACGAAAACCCTGGACCCTAAAACCCTGAAACCCTTTAGGGTTTAGGGTTTAGGGGCTTTAGGGTTTTTAGGGTTTTTAGGGTTTTAGGGCTTTACACGGTTTAGGGTTTAGGGTTTAGGGTTTAGGGCCTAAAACCGAAAACCCTGGACCCCAAACCCCCGAAACCCTAAACCCTAAACCCTAAACCCTAAACCCAAACCCGGGATCTTTTTGCCGGAAGCGAACGGAGCTGGTCGTCCAGATCATCCACGTTTTCCACGTCCCTCTCCTTCCTGGTCCATGTCAGGTTTTAGGGTTTAGGGTTTAGGGTTTAGGATTTAGGGTTCAGGGTTCAGGGTTTAGGGTTTAGGGTTTAGGGTTTAAGGACATGGGTTTAGTTATGGGTTCGTGAGGAATTGAACTTAAGGTATCCACAATAGGAACAGGATTCTTTACTACAAAACCCGTACTATGGCATTTCAAAGTAGGGACCTTCGCAAGAAGCGCGCTGTTGGTCTTGAGGGCTTGCGTTTTCGGTCATGGGGTGTAGGGCATGGCTCCCCTCAACCGGCACGAGGGTTGCCTTGTTGGGGTCCTTATTCGAACATCCTACTATTGGGGAGACTTTTTTGGGAGTTCCGTATCTTCGTACACCCCATACATACATACATACATACATACATCCATACATACATACATACCATTTCGGGATCCTTTTCGTGAACTAAGGCAAAGCACTGGGCCTTGTGGGTTTAGGGCGTAGCGCTGTCAGCCATAACGCCAAATGGTTTGCGTGATGTGAGAGGGCCATTGGTGGGTTTAGTGCTTATAGGGAATCCCGTACAAAATGGTCCTTAACGGATACTGCAAACCCTAAACCCTATACCCTAAACCCTAAACCCCAAACCCTAAACCCTAAACCCTAAACCCAAACTCAACAGAAACAGCCCCGGCGCCTGTCCCCCTGGCGGTGGTGGAGCCTCACAGGCATGAGGATTGACGGTTCAGTGCTTTGGGAACCAGGATGGGACTGCAAACCCTAAACCCTAAACCCTCAACCCTAGACCCTAAACCCGAAACCCTCAACCCTAAACCCCAAACCCTAAACCGAAACCCTAAACCCTAAACCCTATGTTAGGTTTGGGAATTTGGGGTGCAAGCCGAAGGTTTTCGGGCTTCGCAGACTTCGTGCAGGTCTGGGGACTTCGAGCCGAGGCTTCTGTTTCGGTTTAGGGTTTAGGGCTTAGAGTTTAGGGTTTAGGGTTGAGGATTTAGGGTTCAGGGTTCAGGGTTCAGGGTTCAGGGTTCAAGGTTTAGGGTTTAGGGTTTAGGGTTTAGGGCTTAGACCTACACTATCTCCCTGCTATGTTAAGATTCCTGCCGTCGAAGGTGCTTCGAAGGAACTGCTGGCCCCGAACCCACGGGTCCATGCTGAGAATTACCTGTCTTCATCCCTCAACTGCCAAAGCCTTTGGCCTGCCACCCCTAAACCCTAAACCCTAAACCCTAAACCCTAAACCCTAAACCCTAAACCCTCCCGGCCTTCGGAGGGTAGTCTGGGTGCGATCAATGAGCTGCTGGATCTCGTTCATGTCCTGGTCGCCGCAGCCACGACTTGGGGTTTCTGAACATAAGGCTCTTTTTTGGGGGTTTAGGGTTTAGGGTTTAGGGTTTAGGGTTTAGGGTTTAGGGTTTAGGGTTTAGGGTTTAGGGTTTGTTCCTTGGGGGGAGGAGGCTCCTGAAAGGGGATTCTGTTACTTTCAAAGTTTGTTTCTTTGGGGGGGGGGGGGGGTGGAGGTTCGGGAGACTTTCAAAGTTTATTTCGTTGGGGGAGGAGGTTCTTTTCAGAAGGGGTGCCGACCTTTATGGAACTGGCTACACGGTTTCCACCCGCTTTGCTGGGAGGATCCCCCGAGTAGTAGCTCGCCATAACCTGCCCCTAAACATGTGCTACATACTACTTGACCGTAAACCCTAAACCCTAAACCCTAAACCCTAAACCCTAAACCCTAAGCCCGCCAAATTCGCAAAGACCCTGAACCTCTATACCCCCCGCCCCTCCCAATGCTGGGCATCAGGAGCTTCGAGATACCAACCATGCTAGGCATAGAAACATGAAAATAATCAGGACAGAAACAACGATGCATCATACTCAGAACCATGAGGGTAGTTCTCTAAATCAGGGTCCCTTCTTGTGGCCCTTATTATCCTGGAAATATCAAAAGGGGGACCTGATTTTTGGAGAACTGCCGGCGAACGCTGAAACCCAGCGACTCCAACTCACCAACCCTGAGAATTGAGCAGCCGGGCCAAAATCAGCTGGTTCTTCTCCATCATCTTGAAGCGCTTCTTGAGCGTCTCGCCTTGTGGTTAGGAGCTTGGTTTAGGGTTTAAGGTTTCTGATCCAGGTCAAGCACTTTACGCCCTGGTTCTTCGTAGGGAATGAGGGCCCCATATATACCCTTTAAGGGATGATATAGTGCCTTCATTCCCTCATTCCCTACCAAGAACCAGGCACTTTAACGCTAGCACAACTTCGTGGGCTTACCGTCTGGGGTCTCACAAGGCCTCTCGTGAACTTCGCTTGCAGGATTCTGGGCGGAAGGAAGGCTTCGTGAGCCTATAAACATGGCACAAACCACTCCCAAAACCCATAACCCCAAACCCAGCAAACTCTTACCCCTTACAAACGCGGTTTTTAGGGTTCATCCCCGTTCCGAAGGTAAGGCAAAATGGTGGTTTTACAATATTAGGGGGTACCTTATTGGGGTCCTTTTATAAAGGGATCCTACGATGTGGGGGTCGATTTTCGGGGTCCCCCATTTTCGTAAACCCCCACATTGGAGAGAGAGAGAGAGAGAGAGAGAGAGAAAAGGAGCGAAAGACTTTTTTGACTTTCAGTTCACAACCAGCGAGTTGTTGCTTGCGAAGGAAGAGGGCGGCAATGTGGGACAATTAGACCCTAAAACCCCTAACTCCCTAAACCCTAAACCCTAAACCCTAAACCCACCAGGCAAGGAGAAAAGCTGGAGCATTGTCAAGCCTCCGAGTATCATAAAAAAAAAAAACAGGGAAGCCGAAACTCAAAGAGCGACGCAGAATGAGGAGACGTATGGCTCCATCAAGTTTTGGGGTTTAGGGTTTAGGGTTTAGGGTTTAGGGTTTAGGGTTTAGGGTTTAGGGTTTAGGGTTTGGGGTTTAGGGTTTCGGGTTTAGGGTTTGGGGTTTCAGAATCGTGGAGCTGTGGACTCAAATGCTGGCGAAGGATCGAAGAGTGCTGTAGACGAGGCCAAGCACGCCTGGCAAAATCATCCGCAGCCCCTTCACCGCTAAGCCGGGCAGGCTTTAGGGTTTTGGATTCAACCCTCAACCCTGTGCATCACAACCCCGTCCAAACAAAAACCAATGGAACCCCCTAATGCCCCATCTGAAGATTGTCACATAAGCATACCATGCCTTACTGGCTCTTGATAGGTACTTAGGAAATTAAGTCCCCACTATAATCCCCTCTAGAAGCCCCAATGTTTATGTATGTACATATATATGTGCATGTACATGTATTCGTGAAGTGAAGGACAAAGATTCCCTGTAATTTCATGAGCCAAAGAGATAAGGGGTGTGGGTGGTCGGTTAATAGCCAGGGGAGGGGATGGCGTGGTTCCGAAGAGGCCAAAAGATCGTATGGAACCAAGGCTCCCTAAACCCTTAATCCCTAGACCCTAAACCCTGAGCCTAAACCCTGTTGAGAAAGGAGCTTTTGGGGCTCCGGGGCGTCCCAACTCAAGACGACAAAGGGTTTGTGACGCTTTCAAGGGTCATACCCCCAAATATCCGCCTTAAAAGCCCAACATACGGGACCCCAGATGCTCGGGTACCTCTTCTTAGCATCTGAGCGTGCGGGTGTCGGGAGGGCCCCCAAAAAGCCGTTTGTTCCATGTGCTCAAAGCCTCAACCCTCAACCCTCAACCCTCAACCCTCAACCCTCAACCCTCAACCCTCAACCCTCAACCCTCAACCCTAAACCCTAAACCCTAAACCCTAGACCCTAAACCCTAAACCCCGCAGCCCCAGGAGCTGCCTGTCACCACAGCAGGGATGAGGAACACATCCTCTTGCATCGTGCGGTAAAGCCCGGCACCTGGGTCCCAGCTACTGAAAGGCCTACTTGGAGGTTTAGGGTTTAGGGTTTAGGGTTTAGGGTTTAGGGTTTAGGGTTTAGGGTTTAGGGTTTAGGGTTTAGGGTGTAGCATTGGTCAGCTGAACGCGTTAGTGTGAAGACATGCCCACCCCGAGGCCACCCAAACAATACTTATCACGAAACCAAACCGGAGCCAGCCAAAGCCAAGCCAGCCATTAAAATTTCACATATCGAACATGTTCAGAGCACACTAAGATAAAACACTGCGAATGCTTGGGACATTTGCGAGTCGTGAACTCTTGCCGGACTTGAGGCGAGCTGTTGGCGATTTCTTGGGGGGGTCACTTGGGAACAGTGGCTGATTGGGACACTAGGAAGTCGAAGGTCATCTGGGGTCAGAAGGCAGCATGTCGAGCACTGCCTGGAACATTTGCGACTTTGAGGGGGTGCCAAGAATGTCTCTTGATTTCGGAGGTCACTTGGGCGCAGAAGGCAAAGGACCCCCCCCCCTCAAGTTTTGCGCAGGGGACGGTCTGGGCCGAAGGGCCCTCTCAAATTTTCGCGTGAAGAGTCTCCGCAATTGCAAGAATCTCCTTTCAGGGCTTCCTGTAAGCTCCAGGGCCTTCTTTGGCAGCTTTCTGCCAACTCGAAGGTTTTTGCCCCCCTGCTTACTGGGAGGGTTCAGTCCCCCCTGCCTACTTGAAGGGCTTAAGCCCATTTTGGGACTAGGAAGGGTTTGAGGCCACCCTGCTTAAGGTCCCCTGCTCGCTGGAAGGGTTTAAGGCTCCCCTGCTGACTGAAGGTCCGCCTGCGTACAGAAGGCCCTAGCCCTGCCCTGGCGCTGGTTCTGGCCCTGGCCCTGCCCGGCCCTGGCCCTGGCCCTGGCCCTGCCAGTTAGGGCCTCTGGCCCGGCCCTGACCGTGGTCCTGGACCTCGCTCTGACCCTGGTTTTGGGCCCTGGCCCTCTGCCCTGACCCAGGGCCAGAACCAGGACCAGGGCCAGGGCCAGGGCCAGGGCAGGGACCAGGCCAGGGCCAGGGCCCAGGAGTGGGCCAGGGCCAGGGCCAGGGCCAGGGCCAGCGCCAGGGTCAGGGCCAGGTCCAGGGCCACGCCAGGGCCAGGGCCAGGGTCAGGAATTGAAAAAGGACCCCCCCTGGATTTTAGGGTACTAATATATATATATATATATATATATATATATATATATATATATCTGAGACGAGCTTGGCGACCAAGCTTGGCGACCCCTTCAGGGGTGTGCCGGGCAGGCTCTGCAGCGTAGCAGAGCCTGCCGTGGTCTCGCTGAGCGCTCGACTGCGCCCGCCTACCCCAACAGAGGTGAGAGGGGTGGCGGGCGGGTTTAGGGTTTAGGGTTTAGGGTTTAGGGTTTAGGGTTTAGGATTTAGGGTTAAGGGTTTAGGGTTTAGGGTTTTAGGGCTTCAGGTTGGGATGTTCCCCCTTTTCAGAACAGTAGTAGGGATTATAGTACCCCGATGATCGTCCCTATTAAGGACTGTTGGCAAACGGGGCAACATCCCAAGGTTTAGGGCTTCAGGGCTTTGGGTATCTGGGCTATCCCCCTAAACCCTAAACCCTAAACCCTAAACCCTAAACCCTAAACCCTAAACCCTAAACCCTAAACCCTAAACCCTAAACCCTAAACCCTAAACCCTAAACCCTAAACCCTAAACCCTAAACCCTAAACCCTAAACCCTAACCGCCGTCGGGCCGCCGATCACGCAGCCGAGGAAGAAGCTCATGTACAGAGGGACTAGCACCTCGGAGGTTTAGGGTTTAGGGTTTAGGGTTTAGGGTTTAGGGTTTAGGGTTTAGGGTTTAGGGTTTAGGGTTTAGGGTTTAGGGTTTAGGGTTTAGGGTTTAGGGTTTATGCCCAAAGAACGGGGCCAAAACAGGACCTTCGTCAGGGCTTCGGGTTTAGGGTTTAGGTCTTAGGGGCTAGGGTTTAGGGTTTTTTGGGTTTAGGGCTTAGTGCTTAAGGCTTCGGGGCCAGGGTTTAGGTTTCTGGGCCCGGGAGTGCCGGAAGGGTGGAATAGGGTTTGTTGAATTAACGAACCCTCCCCCCCCCCCCCCCCCCGAAACCCTAACCCTAAACCCTAAACCCTGAACCCCTTCCACAAACTGGAACCGGGGAAGTTCCGAAGAGTTGTGTTCAGGCAGTTGTTTGGTTCGTTCTTTTGGGAGCGTTTATGTCACAAGACGTGAGTAGCTTCAGATTCAGACTCAAACTTTCAGGGTTCAGGTTTCGGGGGGGACAGTTTCGAGGCAAAGTTTCGGGGAGTTGTTTGTTCTGTTCAAGAGTCTTGGGCTTCACGTCCTGAAGGGTTTTGGGGCTTCAGGTTGTGGGCTCGACCTGTTCGGTCAGGGATCTAAGGCCTAGAAGGGTCAACATGCTATCAAAGGGTCTAGGGCTTGGGGTTTAGCATTTAGGGTTTAGGCTTTAGGGTTTAGGGTTCAGGGTTTAAAGTTCAGGGTTGAGGGTTAGGGTTTGGGGTTTAGGGTTCAGGGTTTAGGGTTTAGGGCTTAACTTTCGCCCCTGGCAGGGGGGCTGGGCCTGGCAACATGGCACCGTTCTCTCGGATCTTGGGTAGCGTCGCCTTTTCCCCTCACACCCGGATGACTTGAGCCGCAAGCCTTAGGATGCTCCCCCTTATACGAACAGCCCTTAAGATGGATTACGGGGGGGGGGGGGGGGGTACTCTAATCCCTATTAAGGAGCTGATAGTATGAACATCCCAACCTAAACCTAAGAGTCACCTAGGAATAAAAAAGGTGCCCTTGTTGGTTTAAAGGGCCTGACAAGGGTCCAAAAAAGGGGAATAAAGGCCGTCTGAGTAGCTGCAGAACCTTGTCACATCCTAAGACCAGATCCTGAACCCCTAAAGCCCCTCAAACCCAAAACCCCTAAACCCCGGAACCCCGAAACCCAACCAAAACCAAACCCCCTAAACCCCTAAACCGCCAAAACCCCTAAACCGCCAAACCCCTAAACCCCCAATCGCCTAAACCCCAAAACCGCCCAACAGCAAACCCCCAAACTGCCAAAGCCGTAAAAGCCCCCAAACCCGAAACCCCTAAGCCGCCACCAAACCCTAAAACCCTGCAAACCCCAACCCCCAAACCTTTCACCCCTAAACTGCCAAAACCCTGAAACTCTAAACCCTAGACCGCCAACCCCAACAATCCCCATGCCCTCGAAGCCCCCTAAAGCCCCGTAAAGTTGAGCAGCCCTAAAGCCCCCTAAGCCCCCCTAAGCCCCCCTAAACCCCAAGCCCCTAAACCCCTAAGCCCTAAACCCTACACCCCCAAACCAAGCACCAATGGGGGGTTCCGAAAATGAAGGGATCGACAAAATCGATCACCAAATAGTACATTCCCTTACAATACGGACCCAAAAAGGTACCCTTAATTTCGGACACCCTAAACCCTAAACCTTAAACCCCTAAACCCTAAACCCCCAAACTAAGCACAAATCGCGGCCCCGGGGCCATCAGCTTCTTCTTGTCTATGTGCAGCTCCGCTTCATCCAGGAGCTGCGTGCCTGGAGGTCGGGCTTTGGGGGTTTAGGGTTTAGGGTTTCGGGTTTAGAGTTTAGGGTTTAGGGTTTAGGGTTCAGGGTTTAGGGTTTAGGGTTTTTTTTGTGTAGGGTTTAGGGTTCGGGTTTAGGGTTTAGGGCTCAGGGCTCAGGGTTTAGGGTTTAGGGTTCAGGGTTTCGGGTTTCGGGTTTAGGGTTTAGGGTTCAGGGTTTAGGGATTAGGGTTCAGGGTTCAGGGTTTGGGGTTTGGGGTTTAGGGTTTAGGGTAGGGTTTAGGGTTTAGGGTTTAGGGTTTAGGTGTTGAGGCCCTGGGTAAAGGCGATGGGGTCGGGGGATGGCGACGTGCAAAGCGATTCTACCCTTGCTTCGGGCCCACCTGATCCCTCCTTGTGGAAGAAGCGCCGCACGCACAGCATCACCTGTTTAGGGTTTAAGGTTTAGGGTTTAGGGTTTAGGGTTTAGGGTTTAGGGTTTAGGGTTTAGGGTTTAGGGTTTAGGGTTTAGGGTTTAGGGTTTAAAAGCACAAGCCCTGACAAGAAGCCCTTAATCCCAAATGGCGGCTTCACGAGCAACAAGTAGGGGCCCTGTTCTGCTGTGTAACTAGGCCGTCAAAAAAAAAGGATTACTTGTGTGGTGGGCTTCAAACCAGCCGAAATCCATCCTAAACCCTACCGAAACCCTAACCCGAATCCAAATCTAGTTCATGGTTGGGATAGCATAAAAAATTCAAGTTTCTGTTCCTTATTGTGTTTAGCTGCCCTTGAAACTGTAAAATGTTACCCCACTATGACAAAGTTAAGGGGATGATTGATGTCAAGGGCCCATGAAACTACCCTTACAACCCTAAACCCTAAAACCCTAAACCCTAAAACCCTAAAACCCTAAAACCCTAAAACCCTAAAACCCTAAAACCCTAAAACCCTGAACCCAAGGATTTTTAGGGCTTCGGATTCGCGATTTTGGTCGCATTCGGGGGCTGAGGTTTTCAAAGCCCTTAGCAAGCCCAGGGCTTGCTTTGGGTTTCTTGGGCTTCGTAGGGCTTCTTAGGGCTTCTTCGGGCTTCTTGGGGCTTCTTAGGGCTTCTTCGGGCTTCTTGGGGCCTGGGGCTTGGGGCTTAGGGCTATAGGGGTAGTACCCTACAAAGGACCCGAATTGGGGTTCTCCTAGTTGTGATATCCCTACTTACTAACCACTTACGAATCCCACGAAAATCTCACTTGCCAGAATCACCCTCGTCCCAAAAGCCCAAAACCCCTAAGCCTAAACCCCGCAACCCGAAGCGCCCCCGGAATCCAAAGCCCCCTTCCTTCATGAAACCCTAAGCCCCAAATCCGCTAAACCCTCAACCCCAGACCCCGGAATCCCCCCAACCCTGACATCCCCATACTCCAACCCAGAAATCCTGAAGCCCTAACCCTAAACCCTCAGCCCCAAACCCTAAACCCTAGGCCCTAAACCCTAAACCCTAAACCCTAAACCCTAAACCCTAAACCCTCCCAACTTCGGGGGCCGGAGGGCGGCTCGACCGGAGGTGGAGCCGATGTCGGTCATGGTCCCCGTCACGTGGGTGGTACGCACCTCGGGAGCTCGAGGCGCTTTGGGGGTTTAGGGTTTAGGGTTTAGGGGTTTAGGGTTTAGGGTTTAGGGTTGAGGGTTTAGGGTTGAGGGTTGAGGGTTGAGGGTTGAGGGTTTAGGGTTTAGGGTTTAGGGTCTAGGGTTTAGGGTTGAGGGTTGAGGGTTTAGGGTTTAGGGTGTAGGGTTTAGGGTTTAGGGTCTAAATAGGTTCAAGGGGCTCAAGGGGGCTCAGGGGGTTTAGGGGGTGTAAGGGTTCAAAATTAGCGCAAGGGTCCTGGTCCCTTCAACTTCAGTGGCCGGGCCAGGGTTCCTCAGAGGAACTCGTGTGGACATCCTAAGCCCTACACCCGAAATGTCTAAACCCTAAACCGTTTAGGCATTTCGGGCCTAAACCCGAAACCCGAAACCCGAAACCCCAAACCCCAAACCCCAAACCCGAAAAACCCTAAACCCTAGACCCTACTGCTCTCTTAGGGCTGAAGGCCCTGGATGTGACATAAAAAAACCACCTCAAAATAAAACCAACCCCACCCCCGTCCTCCTTGAAACAGCCTGGGTTTAGGGTTTAGGGTTTAGGGTTTAGGGTTTAGGGTTTAGGGGTTAGGGCTTAGGGTTTAGGGTTTAGGGTTTAGTGTTTGTCAACGGCCAGGGCACGATGGCGCCGAAGTGCATGGTGCACATGGCGTTCTGAAGCCCCGCCGCCATGGCGGCCCAGTAGGGAGCGTACTGGGCCAGGGAGGAGGTTAGGTTTCTTTAGGGTTTGGGGTTTAGGGTTTGGGGTTTGGGGTTTGGGGTTTGGGGTTTGGGGTTTGGGGTTTGGGGTTTGGTCGTCGCACCGAACTTGCAGTCACGATCAGAAGCAGTGCAGATCTTGGGGGTTTAGGGTCTAAGGGCTTGACCCTAAACTGTAAACCTTAAACCCCAAACCCTAAACCCCAAACCCTAAACCCTAACCCTGAACCTAAACCCTAAGCCCTAAACCCTAAACCTGAACCAAGCCCCCATCTCCGGAGCAACCCGGCTTCGTGGTTCGGCCAGAACTTCGCGCAGAGCAGAAGGACGCCTTAGAACCCGCTCACACACGGAGGTTCAGGGGCTTTAGGGTTTAGGGTTTACTGTTTAGGGTTTAGCGGTTTGGGGCTTGTGGGTCCCCCGGCTCCAAAACTACAAAAGTACGAGGAACACCCTTTTTGTCTTGCGACATCTTTCCTAGCCACATATGCTCACTGCCTTCTATTCCTTTCCTAGGTTCCCCCCATAATTAAGGCCATTTAGGGATGGAACCTAGGGGTATTGGGGGGGGGGGGGGGCTGGTGTAGTAGAGAGGGGGGCTGGGGGTAGTAGGGAAGCCCATGAACCATTTGTGTGTGTGTGTGCCATGGGACCCAGAGGCACGGCGAAGCCTTAGGAGGATAAATCCCAAAGCCCCAAAAACTCACTAGTGCTTAGTAGGGAGTAATATTGGCCCAGCTACCCACTATGAACTGGTAAGAAAACCCTAAGCAACCTCTTCCCCTAAACCCTAAACCCTAAACCCAAAAACCCAAAAACTCAAAAACCCTAAAACCCTAAAACCCTAAACCCTAATTCAACCCTAAACCCAAAAAAGGATCATCCCATCGAGGTGCACTCGGCGATCAGTGCTGTGCCGTACAAGCCCTTGCCGCCGAAGTGGATCCTCGGTTGCTTGGGTTCGGGATTTGGGGTTTAGGGCTTTGGGGTTTAGGGCTTTGGGGTTCAAGGTTTAGGGTTAGGGGTTTAGGTTTAGGGTACTGTATCATTAGAGTACTAAACCCTAAAGCCCAAACCCTAAACCCCAAACCCTACCATGCTCTGATAGTACCATCTTACCAGCATGAAGCAACCCAGGCGCTGGGTCTTTGGGATGATCCCCCCCCCCAAACCCAAAACCCTAAACCCTAACTAAACCCTACACCCCCTAAACCCTAAACCCTAAACCCTAAACCCCTCACCCATGAAGCAACCCAGGCGCTGGGTCTTCGGGATGATCAGGCCGCAGAGGAATGAGCCGAGGCCTGTTTCTGTTGGTGCGTCTTGGGTTTGGAGGGTTTAGGGGGTTCAGGGGGCTTAGGGTTTAGGGTTTGGGGTTTGGGGTTTGGGGTTTAGGGTTTAGGGTGTAGGGTTTAGGGTTTAGGGCTTAGGGTTTAGGGTTTAGGGTTTAGGGTTTAGGGTCGGGGAAGATTCAGGGAGGCTTGCCACCGAATCTTCGTAAGATTCCTTACGGTCTCCTACGTGGCATGAACTCCGCCCAACACATGACTGTGCACTTTGCCAGCTTAGGCTGGCCGTGGGCTGTCGCCACAGATCGAAGGCCAGCGGAATCCCAAACCATAAGCTGGCTGAAGAACTCCGAGCTTCAAGCAGCACCCCCAAAATCTCTAAACCCTAAACCCTAAACCCTAAACCCTAAACCCTAAACCCCACAGGGTCTGCTAGGAGCCGGCGCTTTAGAGTATTTTAGGGCTCAGGGAGTTTATAGTTTAGGGCTTCGGGTTTTGAGGGTGGGGATGAAAAATGTGGCAAGGGGCCGAAGAAGAGCACGCAGAAGCCCATCTGCTTGGCCTTGTGGGAAAGGGCTTAGGATTTAGGATTTAGGATTTAGTATTTAGGGTTTAGGTTTCGGGTTTAAGGCTCAGGGTTTAGGGTTTAGGGTTTAGGGTTTAGGGTTCAGGGTTTAGGGTTTAGGGGCGGGGGGGGGGGGGGGGGGGGGGGGGCTTTGCTTGTGGGATTCGAGGGCTTAGGGTTTCGGGTTGAGGGTTGAGGGTTTAGGGTTGAGGGTTTAGGATACAGAGCAGAGAGAGTCCCTGGCTTGAGGAGGGGCAGGTGATTCTCCGAACTCGGCTGAGGGGTCAGGGGCCACGATTTTTCCGGGAAACTCGCAAGGCTTTGGCTCAGGAACTTGGGGCTTAGGAGACCCTAAACCCGAATCCCAAAACCCCAAGCCCCAAACCCTAAACCCTAAACCCTACCCCCTAAACCCTAGACCTTAAACCCCTAAACCCTAAACCCGAAACCCGAAACCCTAAACCCCAAACCGCACCTGCTCGCCCCCGACACCCGCCACGCTCTCGTTTTCCAGAAAGAGGCCGAGCTTGGCCGTGTTGCCTTTCGTCGCTTGAGCTTTGGTTTAGGGTTTAGGGTCCAGGGTTCAGGGTTCAGGGTTCAGGGTTTAGGATTTAAGGTTTTGGGTTTTGGGTTTTGGGGTTAGGCTTTAGGGTTTAGGGTCTAGGGGCTCGAGTTGAAGGTTAGGGTGGGCCCTATCTGTATCTCCATTTCCCTACAGCCTCATGTTAACCACCCTTCACTCAGTAGCAGGTGCAACCGTGACAGCCTGAGGCATGCTCCCGCATATACCAGAGGTATATTGAGGGTGCGGAGGGTTCGGGTCGTTGTAGGCTTTTAGGGGTCTTAGGGTTCTAGGGTTCTAGGGTTTAGGGTTTAGGGTTTAGGGTTTAGGGTTTAGGGTTTAGGGTTTAGGGTTTAGGGTTTAGGGTTTAGGGTTTAGGGTTTGGGGTTTAATCAACGCCCCGTCAACCCGCAGGGTCCTGTGACGTGGGTCGTCGGAACGTCGAAGGCTTTGATGGAGCCTGCATTGAAGGGTTCTTCTAAGAGACATCCTAAACCCGAAACCCTAAACCCTAAACCCGAAACCCTGCCACGCCTACGTCGATGATGCCGGCCATGAGGCAGAGCACATTCCCGAAGATCAGCATATACCACTGAGGGCGCTTGAAGCTGGCCTGTCTTAGGTTTTAGGGTTTAGATTTAGGGTTTAGGGTTTTGGGTTTAGGGCTTAGGGGTTTAGGGCTTAGGGTTTAGGCTTTAGGGTTTAGGGTTTGGGGCTTAGTGTTTAGGTTTGAGGGTTTCTGATTTGAGGATGGGGGTGGGGTGGGGTGGTGAGGGGGGGGGGGGGGGGGGGTTGGTTTCTTTTTTAAGGCGAGGACCCCCCAATTCAGAAATCGAACGGTCAGGCCAATGGATAAGGTGTCGCCGTTCTAATTCGAACAATACTCGCTCGAATCCCAATTTAGACATAGATAAGGACATCGAGGGTACCCTTAAGATTGTGGAGGTGATAATTCCGGAAAATCGGTGGGCTTCAGAGCTAAGAAATCCAGGGTACTGTCGCCAAGACTTACAGGTTTCTTATCCAGCGCTGTCACTGCATGCAAAGCACGTTTGTGTTTGGGTTTAGAGTTTAAGGTCTATAAACCCTAAACCCTGAATCCTAAACCCTAAATTCCAAACCCTAACCCCTAAACCCTACAAGGGTTTAGGCTTTAAGGTTTAGGGTTGACGGTCCCGAAAGCCGACTGCGCAGCGGGATGTGTATCTTGCCTGGGGCAGAGGAGGGGGGGTTTAAGGTTCGGGGTTCAGGGCCCCATTACCCCTTCTGAACACCGTCTAAAAGCCCTGTAAACCCCCTGAGGCCCTACTGAAACTCTTTCCGCGAAAGCCCCCTTGGGGTTAGGGTTTAGGGCTTAGGGCTTAGGGTTTAGGGTTTAGGGTTTAGGGTTTGGGTTTTGGGTTTAGGGCTTTCTCCTCTCAACCAACCCCCCCCCCCTCCCCCCCCAAAAAAAAAGGCCTTGGTACTCTCGGCTTTGGCCTGCAGGCGGGACTCCAAGGGTTTGAGGGTTGAGGGTGGAAGATGTAGGAGGGCTTAGGGTTCAGAATTTCGGTTTTAGGGTTTCAGGCTTTCAGGGTTTTAAACCCTATACCCTAAGCCCTGAACCCGAACACAAACCCTACGGTTTTAGGCTTTAGGGTTTAAGTTTTCTCGTTTGGGGTTTTGGAGGCTTGGGTTTGGGTTGAAGGTAATGGGTGCCCCAGGGGGGATGTCGGTGCTCCAAACTTCTTGGAGTTTAGGGCTTAGGGCTTAGGGCTTAGGGTTTAGCGTGTAGGGTTTAGGGTTTAGGTTTAGGGTTTCGGAGGGAGGGTTGAGGGTTTAGGGTTTAGGGTCCGCCGACCCTGGCGGCGTGTTGGATGGGTTTGAGGAGGTGAAAACCTCCCTCTTTCCCTCCTTACCCCCCAAAACGCGGGGGGGGGGGGGGGGGTGTGGGTCAAGTGACCCCGCTCCACCTGCACAGCGTAAACGGCGGTTCAGTACGGACTCAGCGGTTTTTTGGCACCCCCCCCCACCCCCCCCCACCCCCCCCCCCCCCCCCCGCCCCCCACCCCATCCTCCCTCCTCCCCCCCCCCCCCCCCCCTCCCACCCACCCCCCCCCCCCCACCACCCCCCCCTCCCCCCCAACCCCCACACTTGAGCTTGTCCTGGTGCTGCCCCCCCAAACGTTTCACAGAACTCTGCCGAGCAGGCTGGGATGATCTTCGAACCATGCGAGCGGGTTTAGACCTCTCAACTATGCTCCAGCGGGGTCGGCGGCTTGAGCCGGAGGCTCTTAAATTTAGGGTTTAGGGTTTAGGGTTTAGGGTTTAGGGTTTAGGGTTTAGGGTTTAGGAGCCTTCTTGGAAAAGCTTCAACCGGGTGGCCAATGGTAACTGCGTTATCGTGGCAGAAAGGCAGGGTGTACCGGGAACGCGATTCTGTAAGGCTAAGTTTTGTGAGTTATGCTACTCATTGGAATAGCAATTGTTACCAGTTCGTGCGTTTAGAGCCTTGGGTTTAGGGGCTGTGTGAGGAGGACATTAATGAGGTCTTGGCATGGCATGTTGACCATCCCAGCCCCCGTCTCAAGCAAAAACGCAACAGCCTGTCTAGGTTTAGGGCGAGGGCTGAAGGCTTAACTCGAAAGCCTTAAGCCTGAACCTCGTGGCCCGCAACGCCCACTAGAACCCCTTAACAGCCTTAAAACCAAAACTCCAAAAGCCCTGAACCCTGAATGCCCACAAACTCATTCACCTCAAAAACCCTTAACGCCGCCAAAATTTTGGAAGCCCACACCACAGCCCCACAAACCTTGTGCGGAGCCCTAAACCCTAAACCCTAAACCCTAAACCCTAAACCCTAAACCCTAAACCCTAAACCGGAGCAGGGCGGTCGGGCCCATCCCAGATCCCACACCCCAACCTTGGGGTGTAGGCTTTAGGGTTTAGGGCTCAGGGGTTTAGGGTTTAGGGTTTAGGGTTTAGGGTTTAGGGTTTAGGGTCTAGGGTTTAGGGCTTAGGGTTTAGGGGTTAGGGCTCAGGGGTTGGGATGTTCCCCCTTCTTCTAGCTTAATCGGGATCCGAATAGGGGGCACTATTATCCCTTAGCAACTGCTAGTATAAGGGGGAACATCCCAGCTTCGGCGGTCTGAGCCCGAAACCCCTGCAAAAACAATTGTAGTCGTCGTTGCAGGCCCCCCAAAACCCTGAACCCTAAGCCCTCAACCCTATAAACCCTGTGCAAACCCTGAACCCTAAACCCTAAGCTGGCCCTAAACCCTAAACTCCCAAACCCTAAACCCTAAACCCTAAACCCTAAACCCTAAACCCTAAACCCCTGAACCCTAAACCCTGACCTTGTGCATCTTGTAGGACGTGCTTTGCCGAGTTAGCATGTCGCTGCCCGCTGCAAGCACCTCAGGCTGCGCGGGCTCCGGGTCTCCCAGCTCAAGGCGCACGGGTTTTAGGGTTTGAGGGTTTAGGGTTTAGGGTTTGGGGTTTAGGGTTTAGGGTTTAGGGGTTGAGGGTTTAGGGTTTGGGGTTTAGGGTTTTGGGGTTTTAGGGTTGAGGGTTTAGGGGCTTTGGGTTAAGGATTTAGGGTTTTGGGGTTGAGGGAGTCATGGCAGTTCCAAAATTATCCTGAACCCGAAAGCCGTGCTCGAAGACCCTCCGGAGAATAAAGAGTTCCCTTTTCCGGCTTGAGTAAGTTCATCGAAACCCTGACCCCTAAACCCTGAACCCTGAACCCTGAACCCTAAACCCCACTCCCTACACCCATTCATCTCGGATTCTAGCGCGGAAGATGCGTCCTTACTAACCCTAAACCCAAACCTTAAACCCAACAAGTCTCTCTGTCAAGATGGAGAGGGTTCTCTTTGGGGCTGAAGGGGGTTGAGGGTTGAGGGTTGAGGGCTGGCCTACCCCAACTACGCCCTACCCAACACCAACATGAGGCCCTCGTGAGGAGGACGGAGGTACTTAGGGTGTGGTGCAGTACCTCTACCTTCCATTTTAAATCCTAGACCCTGAAACTCCTAAAGCCTGAAGCATCGAAATCCTGAACCCCCGGACTGATAAGCCCAAACACCGTCTAAACACCCTCAACACCCTAGACACCCCAAAAACCCAAAAAGCCCTAAATCCCGCCCCCCCAAAAAAAAGCATAAAAGAAACCCTCAACAAGCCCCCACAACCCCAAAAAGCCCTAAACAACCCCAAAAAGCCCTAAACAAACCTAAACAGCCCTAAAAACCCTAAACAGCCCCAAAAGCAGCAAACAACCCCTAAAAACCCTTAAACCCCTAAACAGCCCTAAACCACCCCAAAATCCCCTAAAGCAGCCCTAAAAAGCCCGCAAAGTCCCCAAAAAGCCCCAAAAAGGCCGAGGCCCAAATCTTAGGATGCCACCTGATCGTCGCTCGAGTCCTCCTCCTGGCTGCTGCAACCCGAGCCGGAGCTGATCGTAGGGAGGTTTTAAGGAGGTTTAGGGTTTGGGGTTTGGGGTTCAGGGTTTAGGGTTTAGTGCTAAAGCCCTAAAGCCTAAGCCCGAAACTGCCCTAGCTAAACTCCAGGCCAACTAAACCCTCAGCCCTTGAACGCCTTAAACCCAAAACTCCGCATCCCTACCACGCCCATAAGGGGGCTTCCGAAATTAGGGGTCCTATTTTACCCTCTACCCCAAGCCCGATTTTCGTAAACCCCCATAAGGCCCCGTCCTCGCTGCTCCCAGACTCTTGTGCGGGGGGACCTCCAAACAGAGGGGCGCAGGGGCTTAGGGAGTTTAGGGCTCAGGGCTTAGGGGTTAAGGGTTTAAAGGGTCTAAGGGTTTTAGGGTTTTAGGGTTTAGGGTTGTTTAGGGCGGTTTAGGGTTTAGGGTTTAGGGTTTAGGGTTTAGGGTTTAGGGTTTAGGGTTTAGGGTTTAGGGTTTAGGGTTTAGGGTTTAGGGTTTAGGGTGTAGGGTTTTGGGTTTTGGGTTTAGGGTTTAGGGTTTGGGGGGTGTGTAACCTAAGATTCCCTACTACTTCCCACTACTCCCTAAGGCTCCCTAAGCTTCCCTAATGTTCCCTAGGTACGAACCCCCCTCCCTTAAGAACACCATAATGCTCCCTTCTTTGTGCGGCATCTTGTCCCGGGGCGCATCCATGCGCAGGCCAGCAGGCATGGGTCGGTAGACCGGCGGTGCCGCTGGGGCGGCCTGGGTCATGCGCTCCATTTGCCGGCGAACCTCCCGCATGGACTGGGTGAGCTCGCCAAACTTGGCTTCCAGATCCTGGATTGCCGTGTGCACCTGCTGCAACTGCTCCAGCGTTTCCTCGTGGCTGCGACGGATCCTATAATGAGGACTGTACAATTTTTGGACAGAATACGCAGAAGTAAACTGAACTCAAAGCGCTACCACCCCCCCCCCCCCGCTTTGACATGCTTTGACGGCAAAACCCCAAACCCTAGACCCTAAACCCCAAACCCGAAACCTTAAACCCTTAACCCTAGACGCCTTTGGGGGGGTATTCTGGGAATCAAAACCCTAAACCCTAAAACCCAAACCCCAAACCCCAAACCCTAAACCCTAAACCCTAAGCCCTGAACCAAGCTAAACCCAAGGCCTCGCTGGAAGTCCGAGGCGGGCCGCGGTGGCCTCGGCTTGCAAAATGCGCTCTCAGACATGGGCTTGGGGTTTAGGGTGTAGGGTTTGGGGGTTCAGGGTTTAGGGTTTAGGGTTTTAGGGTTTAGGGTTTAGGGTTTGGGGTTTTAGAGTTTTAGGGTTTTAGGGTTTTAGGGATTTAGGATTCTAGGGTTTAGGGCCTAGAGTTTAAGCTTAGGGTTTAGGGCTTAGGGTTTAGGAGTGCAGCATATATACCACCACATGGTATAGTGCTGTATAAATACAACGTTATATGATGCAATATAAAACAAGACAATGTTTGCAAGGCCCGCGGGACTCTGGGGTACTTAACGAAAACCCTGAAGATAGGGTCTTGGGGTTTGCGGTTTGGGGGCTGAAGGTATTAGAGTCTTTTTCGGCTAAGGCTTCGGGTGGGCTTGGAGCTTGAATGAAGAAGCGGTAAAAAACTGTATGTCCCTCAACCCGTGCATCCCCAGCTGCAATTTTGATAAGGGGTTACGTAGGGTTTAGGGTTGTTTGGGGTTTAGGGTTTAGGGTCGTTTAGGGTAGTTTAGGGTTGTTGAGGGTTGTTTAGGGTTTAGGGTTTTAGGGTTTAGGGTGTAGGGTTTAGGGGAGACTTCACGACCTCAGGGTTGAGGGGCTCAGCATTCAGAACCGACGTGTGGGATGCTGTGAAGTTCGGGGTTTGTGGTTTAGGCCACAAGCGGCTTTCACCCCAAACCCCAGACCATAAACCACGGACCCCAAACCCCCACCCCCAAACCCCAAACCCCGAAACCCCCAAACCCTAAACCCCGAAACCCTAAACCGCCGCTTAAGCGCCAAACTCAAACATTCTGGCCTAAGGTGCTGCGCGCAGAGGAACCTAAACCCTAGAACCCTAAACCCTAAACCCTAAACCCTAAACCCTAAACTCTAAACCGAAACCTCCCTAAACCCCATTGCACACCGAGGGGCATGGTTTGGGGCCGGTTGGCGTCCGGGGGGGTCGGCCTCGGTTCTCGGGTGTGATTTAAGGGGGATCCGGGGTTTAGAGTTTAGGGTTTAGGGCTACTTCCCAAACCCTAAACCCTAAACCCTAAACCCCAAACCCTAAACCCTAAACCCTGAACCCTAACGAAGGTTCGGGGATCAAAGTGGGTAAAGACGATTGGAGGCCTGGGGGTCTGGCAATTCAGATCTTGCCCTGACAGTTTCTTATCCATTTGAACCCCAAGCCCTTAAATAGGGTTTAGGGTTTAGGGTTTAGGGTTTAGGGTTTAGGGTTTGGTGTTTGGGGTTTGGGGTTTAGGGTTTAGGGTTTAGGATTTAGGGTTTAGGGTTTAGGGTTTAGGGTTTAGGGTTTAGGGTTTAGGGTTTAGGGTCGGGATGCCGGGTGTCTGTACAAGAGCGTACTTTCGTTTTGAGCTAGGACTTGCAGAAAAAATTGCAGTAGTGTTTGGGTAGGGCTGGGGGGTTAGGGCTTAGGGGTGTTTAGGGCTTCGGGCTTAGGTTTGCCATGTTCCTCCACACGTGGGTCTTAGGGAGGAGAAGGGCAACACACAAACATAGAGGCTTGCCCAGTCAACGCCTAGTGGCGGCCTCTCGGCCGCAAGTTGGCCGCGGTTGGTTCCCAAAACCACAAAAACTCGAAACCCTAAACTTTAGGGTTTAGGATTTAGGGTTCAGGCTTAGGGTTCAGGGTTCTGGGTCTACGGCTTAGGGATTGAGATTTGGGATTTAGGGTTTGGGGTCTAGGGTCCCAAGATCCACCACTTCATAAACTCACAGCAGTGGACTGGGATTTCTTGACTAATCAGGGAACCTAAGCCTGGTCTCGACTTTTTTTGTTTTTCTGGCAGTCCGGTTCTTCAGGGTTCAGGGTTTAGGGAGGTTTGGGGTTTATAGGGTTTAGGGTTTAGGGTTCAGGGTTTGGCGAGTTTAGGGCTTAGACTCCAAACCCTAAACCCTAAACCCTAAACCCTAAATCCTAAACCCCGGTTGCTTGGGGTTGAGGATTTAGGGGTTAGGGCTTAGGGCCCCCCCCCCCCCCAAGCTCGGGCTTGGACGACATGTAGCCACCTCAGTGCGAGTTAGGGTTTAGGGGTTAGGGTTTGGAGTTTAGGGTTTAGGGTTTAGGGTTAGGGTTTAGGGTTTTAGGATTTAGGGTTTAGTGTTTAGGGTCTAGGGTTATCCCTAAACCCTAGGAACTCCTATGGGGGAAGGCATGGGACATGTAGGGGATGAGTGGGGCTCGGGGTCTGGAGGCTGGTCGTTAAGGGTTTAGGGTTTTAGGGTTTAGGGTTTAGGGTTTAGGGTTTAGGGCTGCGGGCTTAGGGGTTAGGGGTTAGGGCTTAGGGCTTAGGGTTTGGGCGGGTCAAGCGACTAGAGCTGAAGCCCAGTAGAAAACAAGGAACCGACGGCAAAGTCTTTGCACCCTATCCCCCAAACCCTAAAACCCAAACCCTAAACCCTAAACCCGAAATTCTCCCCGAAGCCCAAAACTCTCAAAACCGCAACCCTAAACCCTGAGCGGTTCCGCACAGCGCGGCCTGAACCCTCACCCAAACACTGGAAGACCCCTGGCAGAACTCAGGGGGCCCTGAGAAGGGTCCCTGCAATGAAAGCTGCAATGAAAGCCTCAGAGAGCCCCCCCCCCATCCCCCCCCAAAAAGTAAACAAATCATAAAATAGAAATAAAAACCGAAAAGACGAGACGAAAACAGGAAAGAATGACAAGATAAAGCTAAACAAATATGCAAAGAACATAGCATGTTTGAATTAAGAAGAGTGCCTCTTGGAACCTCCCCACCTGTCCCTAAACCGGAACGGCAGGACTTGCTGTTGAAGGGCATTGTCATCATGGCCGTGCATGCTGGTTCAGAAGTTCAATCGACGCCCCATACACGCGCCAAAACCATAAGCAGGAAGTACATACAGAAAGAATCACACACCAACAAAAAAACAACTTCAACCCTTAAACCCTGCAGTCTCAACTGAGGCTCCCCATGCAAGGCCCGGGTGTTTTTTCAGGATTCCGGGATCAGAGGGGGGACGCGAGTGCAGACTTAATCCTTCTCTAAGCCATGGTCTCTGTTGGTGAGGGCCCAAGTTGAAGTTTAGGGGTTTCGGGGTTAGGGTTTAGGGTCTAGGGTTTAGGGTTTAGGGTTTAGGGTTTAGGGTTTAGGGTTTAGGGTTTAGGGTTTAGGGTTTAGGGTTTAGGGTTTAGGGTTTAGGGTTTAGGGTTTAGGGTTTAGGGTTTAGGGTTTAGGGTTAGGTTTAGGGTTTAGGGCTTAGGGGGGGCAGCAAGAACAAAGCCAGCGGAGTAAGCAAGGAGCTGCTCACAACGGCCGACTGTGGAGGGGTCGCCTGCAAAGCAGAATCGATGACAGCTCCCCGCCCTTCCTTCCCTGGATCCTTATAGGTTTAGGGTTTAGGGTTTAGGGTTTAGGGTTTTGGGTTTAGGGTTTAGGGTTTCGGGTTTAGGGTTTAAGGTTTAGGGTTTAAGGTTCAAGGTTCAGGGTTTAGGGTTTAGGGTTTAGGGTTTCGGGTTTAGGGTCCGCCGACCCTGGCAGCGTGTTGGATGGGAAAAGGAAGTGAAAACCTCCCTCTTTCCCTCCTTACCCCCCCAAAACGCGGGGGGGGGGGGGCGGGGGGGTGGGGGTGGGGGGGTCGGTGCACAATTTTTTCGTGGAGGACCGCGCCACCCGCACAGCGTAAACAGGCGGTTCAGCACAGGGGGGTAGGGGCGCCCTCAGCAAAATCAGCGTTTTCGGCACCCCCCCCCCCCCCCCCCCCCCCCCCCCCCCCCCCCCCCCCCCCCCCCCCCCCCCCCCCCCCCCCCCCCCCCCCACCCGCCCCCCCCCCCTCCCCCCCCCCACCTACCTGTCTTTTCGTCTTGAGCTTGTCCTGGTGCTACCCCCTACCCCCCCCCCAAACGATTCACAGAACTCTGCCGAGCAGGTTGGGATGATCTTCCATGCGAGCGGGTTTCGACCTCTCAACTATGCTCCAGCGGGGTCGGCGGCTTGAGCCGGAGGCTCTTATATTTAGGGTTTCGGGTTTAGGGTTTAGGGTTTAGGGTTTAGGGTTTAGGGTTTAGGGTTTAGGGTTTAGGGTTTAGGGTTTAGGGTTTAGGGTTTAGGGTTTAGGGTTTGGGGCCCCAAGCCCCCTTCCCTGGATCCTAGGGTTTAGGGCTTGGGGCGGTTCAGGGTTTACAGTTTGAGGTTTAGGGTTTAGGCTTTGAGGTCTAGGGTCTAGGGTTCAAGGCTTAGAGTTTGGGCTCCCCATTCGCTTCATGACACTCAGCCCTCACTGAAGACCCTCAACCCTAAACCCCAAACCCCTAAACCCTAACCCTAAACCCTAACCCCTAAAACCTGAATAGCAGCCCATCGTGGGAACACCACAGAGTCTAGGATTTCTATGTTTTGGTCTTGCCGCCATGTGCGGCTGAACTCAAGGGGGGGGGGTCCTGAAAGAAGGTTTGCGAATTAGGGTTGAGGCGTTCAGAGGGCTTGGGGCCTTAGGGTTCAGGGTTTAGGTGGGTACCTTCAGGAACTGGACAAGAGATGGACGCGGGAATTTTGGGTCGAGGAATCTGCTGGAATCTTAGGGTTCTTTGGGCTCACGGCCTGCTTTTTTGGGGTTCAAATCCTGAACCTCCGAGGGTTTAGACCCCCTGGCGGACCGGACCAAAAACCAAATTCGGCCTGCAGCTGCGTGTATGAAGTCGGATATGGAGCCGAATATGACACTGGCAGGGATGGCCTTGGGCGGCTTTAGGGTTTAGGGTTTGGGGTTTAGGGTTTAGAGTTTCGGGTTAAGGGTTTAGGGTTTAGGGTTTCGGGTTTCGGGTGAAGGGTTTAGGGTCTCGGGTTTAGGGCTTAGGGCTTGGGGCTTAGGGCTTAGGGCTAAGGGTTTAGGGGGCTGTTCAAATCCTAGGGATTTCGGGGGTTGAGGGTTCTGGGATTTAGGCTTTGGGGGAAAAGGATTTTGGACTTCCGGGACTTGGGATTCTCAGGGGCGTTTGGCCTTGGCTGGAAGTGACCTCAGGCTCAGGCAGCGTTGATCTCTTGCGCATTTCGAGTTTGTGGAGGGACTCAGGGTTCGCAGCCTTTGGCGGGTAGAGGGTGGCTCAGTTCTGCACACCTGCGCCAGAGCCCCTGACCTTGAACTCTGAACCCTAGGCCCTAGGCCCCAAGGCCCTCAACGCCCCCCCAAACCCTAAACCCTAAACCCTAAACCCTAAGGCAGATGGCACTGCCGGCACGTAGAGGTTGCGCTGACTGGAGTCGGCCACAGTGACTGGCTGCATGGCCTCAGCTTCGGGCTTTGGCATTGAGGGTTTAGGGTTTAGGGTTCAGGGTTTAGGGTTTAGGATTTAGGGTTAAGGGATTAGGGTTTAGGGTTTAGGGTTCGGGGGTCAGGGTTTAGGGTTGGTGTCGAGAGCAGGAAGACTTATGGCTTGGGGGCTTGCGGCTGCTTCTGAATATCCCAACCTCAGCGCACTGACAAGGTGAGGCTCCCTGGTCATGGGCCCCGGGCGATGTGTGCAGGCGGTGAAGAAGCGGGAGCAGAAAACTTTCAGCGATGCAGAACTAGCAAGGTCGAACCTCTGCCAAGATGATAACCGGTGCCACCTACAGTGTTCGACCACTCAGAGCACACAACTTTGGGAAAAAGGCACCGCGCGGTTGCCAGGGATATGTTCTGCTGCAGGTGAGCCAGAGGCCGCGGAACATTCGGTTTAGGGTTTAGGGTTTAGCGTTTAGGGTCTAGGGTCTAGGGTTTAGGGTTTAGGGTTTGTCCTGAACCCTGACACGCGGAGGGCCCAGGACACCTTCGAGATGGGATAGAGCCGTTTGTCTTCCATGGCAAGAACCTCATTTGTAGTGTGGTCGCGTGAGGTACCTAAAACCCAAACCTAAATGGACTATGCATGCTCCACGCCCAAACGTTCCTGAACCGTAAGCACGAAACCCTCAACCCTGAACGCTGCGGTTTGGGGTTTATGGTTTAGGGTTCAGGGTTTAGGGTGAACCCGAACACGAAGCCTGGGAAAATCTGAAATGCCCAAGACGCCTTAAAAGCCTCTGAAAGACACTACGGAACAAGATCCTCTTCACACCCAACAAGGGAAAATATAAATCTTCCAGGCAACCCTCAGGGTTTAGGATACCTCGAAACCCTAAACCCTAAACCCTAGAGGTTTAGGGCTCGGGGTTAAACAGCGTCGGGAGATGCTGGCGATCTTGGCAAACCTAGAAACCCAACTGTTTAGGGGTTTAGGGTTAGAGTTTAGGGTTTAGGGTTAGGGTACTTATAACCCCAATGCTAAGTCGACTGAAAACCTACTGAGAGGACTTCAGGGGGCTCATAAGGGGGCTTACTAAAACTGTTCCTGCGTCCCAGAACCCCAGCGATTTCAGGGTTTAGGGTGTTGGGGCCTGGAACCCCTTTGCAGACAATGATTCTGATGGCCCCTGCTCAAACTGATATAGAGAATTTCGGGCCTGCAACTTGTGGATTCAGGCTCAGGGAACCCTAAACCCTAAACCCTAAGCCCTAAGCCCTAAGCCCTAAACCCTAAACCCTAAACCCTAAACCCTAAACCCTGAACCCGAACAATCCCGAACAACTCAGACCAAAGATAGACCATCCCAAGCACCGCCCTACCCAACAAGAGGGCTTCGGGTTTGGGCTCTAAACCCTATACCGTAAACACAAATCGGGATTTTGGCATCTAGGGCTCGGGGTTATAGGGCTTAAGGCTTCAGGTTTAGGGTTTAGGGTTTCGGGTTTAAGGTTTAGGGTTTGGGGGTTTAGGGCTTAGAGAGGCCCTCCATACCTCCCCCCTGCCCCCAAGAGGGGCTGTCCTGTGATAGCTCCGAGCCTGGGGACTCAGCACACGAAAGGGACTTTGATGTGAACCCGAAACAGGGAACCCCAAGAGTCTACAGTAGTAGGAACATAAAAGGAATGTGAGGACCCTGGTAGTACAGTCCTACTAGATTCTTGCGGTTCGCTTTTTGGGTCCCCTTTACTCACCAAACAGCCCATCCCCTTCTGAGGATCTTCGTCTATGGCTTTGGGTTTGCGGTTTTGAGGCCTAAGGGCCCAAGACCCCCCCTAATCGAGGAAAGCCACCTTTCGTTCACGGGCTTCAGGAAACATTTAGTTGGGAAACTTCAGGACCTGGTAGGTATATTCCTAATGCATTCCTACTATATTCTTTTTGGGGTTCTCAGCAAATCTTTGCCATGGACAGTACCAGGGAACCCTATATAAACCCTAAACCCTAAACCCTAAACCGAAATGCCAGACAACCGAAGCCCGCCACCCCTGAAACTTGTAAGTGCTTCGGGCTTAGAGTTTGAGACAAAGAGCGGTCCTGAAGGCTCTTGAAGCCCAATGAACCCTCAAAAAGACACAGGTTTAGGGTTTAGGGTTTAGGGTTTAGGGTTTAGGGTTTAGGGTTTAGGGTTTAGGGTTTAGGGTTTAGGGTTTAGGGTTTAGGGTTTAGGGTTTAGGGTTTAGGGTTCAGGGCTAAGGGGTTTAGGGGTTTAGGGGTTTAGGGGTTTAGGGGTTTAGGGGTTTAGGGGTTTAGGGGTTTAGGGCCCACCCTGGCCCCGGCCCCCGGCCTCCGCAGGGGTCGACACGGCTTTGTGAGGAGACTCCTCGCCTGCCATGGAAACACCGGGGAGGGCGAGCCTACCTAAACATCTGAATTAGGGTTTAGGGTTTAGGGTTTACGGATTGGGCGTAGGGCTTAGGGTTTAGGGTTTAGGGTTTAGGGCTTAGGGTTTAGGGTTTAGGGTTTAGGGGAGTTTAGGGGGGTTTAGGGTTTAGGGTTTTGGGTTTAAAGTGGCAAGATCCACAAATTCGGCGTGACTGAGATTTTACATCCAGCGGAAGCTGAATGGATACAACCTGACTCCACCTTTGCGACCCCTCACCCTAAACAAGGCCCAAATAGACCTTAAAGATTACATGGCCTTGGGTAGGGGGTGGTTATATAGGAGTTCGGGTTTAGGGTGTTGCTGTCGCAGATCCCACAAGGCACAGTTCAGGAGCCCACATAACACCTCTGACCCCCGAAAACCCGAAACCCTCAAAGGTCTCTAGGGTAGGGTTAGGGCTTAAGGTTTTGGGCTATGTCACGACTCTCGCCCCGTTTAGGGTTTAGGGTTTAGGGTTTAGGGTTTAGGGTTTAGGGTTTAGGGTTTAGGGCTTAGGGCTTAGGGCTTAGGGCTTAGGGCTTAGGGTTTAGGGTTTAGGGCCAGGCTTTGGGGTGGAACCCTAAACCCCTAAACCGCCTCTTGGGCCAAGGCCTTCGTCCATCTCCATCGGCCCGTAGAAATCGTCGCGAGTGACTCCCTGCGCAGCTTCTCAGTTCCGCATTTAGGGCCTAGGATTCTAGGGCTTAGGGTTCAGACACACCCAAATCCAAAACCCCAAACCCTAAACCCCAAACCCTAAACCCTCCACCCTAAACCCCAAACCCTAAACCCTAAACCCTTAAACCCTACGCCCGAAAGGACGCATGTCATGTGGTTTCCCACCCCCCCCTGTTGGAGTCGGGTTCTGAGGGTTTAGGGGCTCTACTGTTTAGGGTTTAGGGTTTGGGGTTTAGGGTTTAGAGTTTAGGGTTTAGGGCTTAGGGCTTAGGGTTCAGGGGTTTAGGGTTTAGGGTTTAGGGTCTAGGGTTTAGGGCTTAGGGTTTAGGGCTTAGGGCTTAGGGCTTAGGTTTAGGGTTTAGGGTTTAGGCTCTGATTTGACATGTCCTGCACCAAGCCGAGGGCCTAGGGTTTAGGGTTTAGGGTGTAGTGTTTAGGGCTGCGGTTGAGGGTTTTGGGGTTTTGGGGTTTAGGGTTTAGGGTTTCGGGTTTAGGATTTAGGGTTTAAGGTTTAGGGTTTGGGGTTTAGGGTTTCGGACCCTCAGCCGAAAGCCCAATATAGCCTGAGACTTAAACCCATACTCTGAAGCAAGGCCCGAGAAACACAAACCCCTCCCAACTTCACGCCTCGGGGAGCACAAGCTCTTGGGCCTGCCACAGCTTGACTTGGGTCTTAGTTCCCCCTTGGTACCCCAAGCCCTAAACCCTAAACCCTAAACCCTAAACCCTAAACCTTGAGGTTTATTTGAGGGGTTGCGGGTTCAAGCTCCGAGGTTGTGCACAAAATGGGGGTTTACGACATACGGGATCCCTAAGATAGACCCCCAAAAGGGTTCAGGGTTTAGGGAGTAAGATAGACCCCCGAATAGTAGGATTCCATTATAATAAGGGCCCCCAATAAGGTACCCCGAATTTCGGACACCTTCATATCATGTTCATGCACAATCTGGGCGAGCGCACTGCCAGAGACACGGGAGCAGGATGAACAGGCTTAGCACTAAATCTCCAAGACCCTAAGCGTCTTGACATCCTAAACCCTAAACCCTAGACCCTAAACCCTAAACCCTAAACCCGTTCAGGAAGTATTGTTTCTTCAGTTCCGAGCATCTTGGGCAGTCGAAAGCCCGCCATACCAGTGAGCCCTGAGCCTAAACCGCCCTAAACCCTTCGGTTTAGGGTTTAGGGTTTAGGGTTTAGGGTTTAGGGTTTAAGGTTTGTGCTGGGAGAGCCTGAACCTTCACCTGAAGCCCTAACGAGGTTGCTCAAGAACAATGCCGAAAATCTCCGAAACCCGAAAAAAGAAATGCAGGCAAACCCCGAACCTCCAGCAAAACGGTGCGCAGAAGCCCTAGGTCCTAAGCCTTCTTGGATAGCTCCGTACTCTACCGCAGGCACTTGACCTAAACCCTAAACCCTAAACCCTAAACCCTAAACCCTAAACCCCAAACCCCAAACCCTAAACCCTAAACAAACTAAACCCAGAACCCTGATGTTTGGGATTCAACATGTTGAACCCGAAGCGGCGTTTAGGGTCTAGCATCCTCGCCGTGTCCCACCCCGCAGCCCAAAAAATCTTCAACATTTAGGGTTTTGGGTTTAGGGCTTAGGGCTTAGGGCTTAGGGCTTAGGGTTTAGGGTTTGCGCCAGCCTCATCTGCGGGAGGAGGCAGGGGTGGCTCGTCGTCTGGAGTCAGAGAGGGTTTAGGGTTGCTGGTTCTTAGCAGGCAATATGGGAATTGAGTAAACTGTACCGAATGCCCGAATTCCCTACCAAGAACTAGTTAGCAGAGGGGGATGGGGGCTTTGGGTCAGGGTGGGCTCGTGATGGGCCGTGGGATTACAAAGATTAGAAAGAAGCCCTAAACCCTGAAATCTTACTACAGGGCGCTCAGAACCCTAAACCCTAAACCCTAAACCCC